GGACCCGCTCGTACCCAAAATTCCCAAGTCACCTCAATGAATTTCATGTCCTCGCCGCAGCCGCTGCTATATCACCACGCGAAGACACAACTGGGTCAAGTGTGTTCAGGACAGCTCGGCCCGACAGCTGCGGCTTTTTCCGTTTCCCTGTGTTAGCCTGAGAAAGGTTGAACTGGCGTATTCAAGTGGCTCTTGGCCCGGGGCTGGTTTTGACAGTCCTGCGCAATCAAGTTAAAAGGTCAGAGGGAGGACTGCCAGCATTCGCAGGATGAGGGGGACGCAGACACGCAACTCAGAGGAACAGCTTTCGTAAGAGGGAAGCAGTATTTTCACAAGAGGGACCTGGAGAACTTCAAACTTGTTCAGCCGGAAATAACAAATATGTTATGACTGGAACCTACGAAGTACTACTTTGTGTCAGTCCGTCAAGAGCAACGAAGACCGCCACTGATACAGGGGTGACAATTGTGGCCGGTGCCAAGCCCAAATTATTTTCTCTTTTGTCCCACGTTAACGGGAAGATGCAGTCCAGATGCGTGGAGATGGTCTTGGGGCAGCAGCTGGTAACGAATAAACTGCAATTTACGCATGCCACAGGCGTGATGGCGAAACAGGGTTCGAGAACTTGGAACTATTGCAGTTTGGTATATAGTTCAGTATATTTAGGATAGTAGGCAATGCCTTTGAAGAACCTCTTGAAAACAATTAACATAAAATATCCAACATAAAAATGTGTTACTATAAAATAGTGAGTAACATATGCCGAATAATTGAGAGAAAAGGTACCCCACTCTCGGCTTTCTCTCGCTCGCTTACGTCTGCCGTACTTTGCTAGCGGCAAGTGCAGACCAAGCCGACCGAGGAGGAGATTAAAGGCATGGCATGCGACTTCACCCGGTGCATACCATTTTTACGTACGGACTGCAGATGGATCCATCCTCAGTGCAGATGCAGTGCGCATGGTGTAAGCAATGTGCGATCTCTTTTGCCATCCAAAGCATCTGAGATGCAGCACAAATCCCAGAAGTGAATTGGTGTACTGCATGGAAAAACTTTTTGACTCTGGTTTATGTTGTAAGGCAAGTGCTTTTCGAAAAGTTGAGTGGAATTCCGTTGGGAGATTTAACTGTGCAGAAAGGGAACTTTTCTAATTGCACCAGTTAAATCATTCGCGCAAGTAGATCCTTCTTCAGATCGACGCTGATATCCAAAACTGGGTACTCCTACTGGTTACCCTCCAATATCTCTTCCAGTTAACATGCCTCCCCATCCTCACAGTTCGAACAAGGATAAGCCGTTGGCTACTTACTAAAACATAATTGTGGACCTCGTTATATTCACAATCATAATGCTGATTTGGTACCCAATGTTTGCCCTCATCACTCTCTCAGTTACACGGAGACGCCAAAGCAGGCTTATTACGAGGTGGCGGTGAAGCCTAAGCAATTTGAACCAGTCACCGTCGAGTTCCCCTGCCAGCCACCACACGAGACGACCGAGCTTTCTGTGAAAGTTCAGCGCCCCTTCAGTCCAGTTTCACTGGAGGTCAGGGTGGATGCAGATAAACCGGCCGAGACAGAGACGCTCACAACCACAATCTCACGCACCAATCTCGATGTAGACCTCGCTCAGCAGCCCTCATTTGCCCCCATCACGATGGAAATACCCTATGCCTCCCAACCCAGCGAGCCGGCGCGGTTCGCTGAGGGTCTACCAAAGTCGGCGGACATCCGGGAGGGCGTAACGGTTCAGCTGGCTGCTCGGATTGCTGGAGAACCCAGGCCAGAGGTGTGCTGGCTGAAGAATGGTCAGCCGCTGCAACCATCACAGAAAACCTTTGCCACTCTGGAGGTAAGTCTAAATTGAGTGGTGTATAAACGTGTGCGCACTGCGTCAGCTCTCTGCCGAGCATATGCATATCATTGCGTAAATACATGTTATGACTTAACTCAGGAGACGTGGTAGACCTATTATAATAAGTATATGTTCGGTCAACTGCGAAAATATTGTAACACCGAACTATGAAACAGAAATATGAACAGTTTTCTCTGACTCCCGAAGAGTCAGTACGCTAAGGAAAGAATGTACTTCACTTATAAGTCACGCCTGAACTCTATTCATGTAAGAACCAAGTGAAACCCTGACAAGAAAAACGATTTCACGGATGTATTTCCTTGGGCATGCTAGGCAAAAGGATAGACAGAACGTGGGTATAGATATCCCCTTATTGGAGTCGAAACTGGCCTACATTCCACGAGGTTGCTGTTAAGAGTTAAGATTAGACTTAACGGTAAGGCAAGGTTCACCTCGCTGATCTTGTTATAACCTTCTTGTATGTTTGACCCTTTACCAGTGGTCTGCTGAAGATAAGCGTTCTACTTTTCAGCCTGATAATCGGGCGATTTTGACGCTCATTGAACCAACTGTCAGTGACTCGGGTGTCTATACTGCCCTTGTGAAAAACCCAACTGGACAGGATACGACAGCCATCCAGGTAAGTGCTTGTAATTAGTAGTAGACGGAGAGTTTTGAAGTTGCGTTCCAATAGAATCCTTTCTAATTGCGCTTCTACGTCTACCTGCCTGTAGTTGAATGTGAATCCAGCAGTTTTTCAACCGACTGAGCAAGTTCCTGCAGAAATGCCACCAGTGGAGCAGCCGGTTCCGCCACAGTTTGTGAGCGCACCCGTTCCTCTCCCACAAACACCAATCGGGGACGTCATCGAGTGTCCAGGCATCCTTCAAGTTACCGAGGGTATGCCGACCGTGCTCGAGGTCGAAGTCGTAGGCAGGCCCGAGCCTGTCGTTGAATGGTTCGTGAACGACCGTCCCGTTCGTCCCGACTACAAGCATAAGGTATGTTGACACTAGGCCCATATAAACTAAAATATAAAGGCTACTTGAAGTAACTAAGTAGATATAACTAGTTAATTTCATTCTTGTCAAGGTGATGACTCGTCCGGAGGGAACTCACTGTATGACGCTCGAATCACCCTCACCTATCAATGACACCGGTCGATATCGTTGCGTCGCAAGTAACCCCTATGGCACGTCTCAGCTAGTGCTGACAGTGAAGGTGGAACCAAAACAACAAGCAAGACCTCTACCGCCAAAATTCCTCACGAAACCGCAGCCGACAATCACTAAACAACCACAGGAGCCTGTTGTCCTGGAGGCCACATTTGAGGGCAATCCACCGCCCATAATATCCTGGCACAAGGATGGAAAGTAGGTTGCATGGACGACAAATACTGTTTTAATTCAGTACACTTCAACTGCAGCTTCATGTCTTCTAACATTGCCCTTGATCTCTCTGATAGACTGGTGTCTCCAACTGACGCTCCTGGAGAGAGGGTAAAAATAAGAACCACAGAAAACGCAACGAGTTTAACAATTGAAAATCTGCTTCCCGAAGATATTGGAACCTGGCAGTGTCTCGCCTCCAGTACCGCTGGGACAGCCACTTTTCGTACCAAAGTTCAACACGAAGGTCTGTTCCTTGGGTACTTGATGCCATCCTGTGTGCAGTCAATCAACAACGATGTAAGACCTAACGCAAGGCTACTTTCTGTTTCAGAACCAAGAAGGCCCTCTGTGGAGCAGTCCAAGAAGGTCATCGTTCCCTCAAAGAGGCCTTCAGTTTCGGGGTAAATGTCACCAAAAAAATGGAATTAGTCAATCCTTAAAGGCTTTTAAGGCTTTTTAATTTTTGCACAAAGACTGTGTTTCCAAGGCTAGTTGAATGCTTGATAATGTCTCACCTTCAGACCTGGAACGACTCCCTACCCGGAGATCAGGCAGCGACCGATGCCAGTTTGTTTGACGGAAGGCGAAAAGGCTCACTTCTCCACAATGATTACCAGTAATCCACCGCCAGTGGTTGACTGGTATGTGAACGGGCAGCTTGTGGTTCCCGGGCAGAAGGTGGATACGGATGGAAACCCGAAAGAAACGACCAGTTTTGATGGACTGTTGCACCACCTGTGTATTCATAATTGCCGGCCAGAGGACGCCGGCCAGGTCACAGTTGAGGCCCGACGCAGCGATGTTCCAATTGAGGTGTCTAGAACCGAGCCGAACGCGCTTGTTACGGCAACAACCTCGCTAGAGGTTTTACCAGCACCCAGCAAAATTCCCCAGTTGCGATCGGTTCCTAGTAAGTCTGTCAATTCATTTTCCCCTCTACAAATTTTGCTCAAGTTTGACCTGACTGATATCCTCATATATGTGTGCGTAAACTAGTTGGATAAATTACAGTGTTAGTATCTGACGGCAACAAGAACGCTTGATCTAAATATCTCCGACCGATAGAGTATGTTGTTTTCTAGTCCGCTGGCAAAAGGTTTCAAGCAGCCATTGTAAACTATTGAAAACAGTTGATAGCCTTTTTATTGCGTTTAAGGAATCGATCCCACAGGCGACCACAGTCAGCTAGTATTGCCAGGTTTCATTCTAAATAATCTACGACAGGAGCTTAGTTTGATTTAAATCAAGAAACGCCGTGTGCAGGTCTTGTGAAATTAGCTTAGGAGATTTGTTGTGTGATTTTTTGATGAACGAAATTGAACCTCGCGAAGGAAGTTGTACTGAGATTAATCTGTTTGTCAGGCAATATTTCAGGTGGAAGATAAGACAGGGCGTTATCAATATTCCGTCTGGACCCCTGAGGAGGTTAAGAGCATTATG